GCTCCATATCCTCTCTAGTTCTTGTCTTGGATCTATTCCACTAGCAAGCATTAGAAAAACTTTCAGCCTTGAACATGTATCTGAGAGAGCAGGATTTGAAAAGAAGGAGGACTAAGAACTTCGCTTTGTGCTCTTCAGCTATTCTGAAATTTCCAAATGTCTTAGATGTTGTAAGCTCTTAGAATTTAATTGGAAAAACACCCTTGATGGTAACATAATTATTTTTATATTACCTAGTGCTCATTTTCTAATATTTTCTTAAATTAGTTGATAGTCATACAATGCACATAAAGAAAGGTGATCCCAAGTGTTCATAATACTTTTTCTGTATTCCAAATGATCTTGTTTATAAAAATACTAAGAAAATAGTTTTTGGTTTTTTAGAAATGTTTTAGTCCATGTTTAAGTTCTCTTATTTAGGCTTTGTGCTGTAATAGCAGCCTTGCATATACACTACAGGTCCATACAAATTTGAGAAATAAACAATTTAGCACATTATTTGCAGCCATGCATCATCTGTTGCTTTCAGCCTTACCTCAGCTGATGGTGCACAAGGCAGAGAGAGGCATTCAGAAAGGAAAGTGCCGTGGATCAGCTGTCCTAAGTCTTGTCTGTGCATGGGGATACTTAGCAAGAGGTATCCCTGAGTCCTTCCTTATACACAAATGTCTTCGCTCAGGTTAAGGCAAGAAAGCAAATACTCAGTTTCAATTTGAGCCAAGTTCTGAGGAACCCTGCCTACAAAATAGATATCCTAATTTAGGTAGTATAGCTGCTGCAAATTAAATGTATACGCTACCTCAAATTGAATTAATTTTCAAGTTTAGACAAGCTTCAAGCACTTGGAGGCTGACTTTTAATTAGTGAAGCTCTGACAGCACCACCACAGAGCTGGTTTATCTTAATGACAGAAGATAAACTTCATTAAGTTTTCCAAGCAACATAAGAAAATGCAAATAAGGCAGAACTCCTTAAAGGGCTTGTGACTCCTTCTGTCATTTCATTACTGTTGTGATTTTCAGTCATAATCCCATCAGCTTCCCTTCATTATTGTCTGTGTCAGCTGTGTTCCCAGCTTGGCACTGTACTGAGATATTTGGTGTGGCAGTGGCTCTCTGTGAGAATGGCTGGTTTGGGGAATGATGAGCAGCCACAGCCCCAGGCAGTTCTGTATGGTTTTGCTCCAAGTCCATGTGAGATGGCACAGGCAGAGTCTGGCTTTCCTCCTTTCTGAGACACAACCATACTTCAAGAAGCAGAGTAGCTGCAGCTGGTGTGGCCCCATCCTTCAGAAAACGTGTATTTCCCAAAGATAAGTTACCTTGGAGGGTTTGTGTTACATTAACATGCCACTCTCCCTCATCTAGGAATATGAGCAAAATTAGGTTGGTTTTGCTTGCAAATGGCAATGCGCTCTCAAAGGCCTCTGCTTTCTGTGTATATCAGTAACCAGGAGCTGTTTTATTCCACAGCCCAAAAACTGGAGTAGCTGCAGTGACCCAAGGAAGGATGAGGTTGCAAAGCACTCACAGCTGCAGCAAAAGGCAGGTTATCACCCCAGCCTGGAGATTAAATGCTGCAGGCAACTTCCTGCAGCTCAGAGACAGCTTTTCTTTTCAGTTCCATATCTAGATCGTGACTTAATTATCTTTTGCTCATAGAAAGTAGGGTTTGCTTTCAAACTAAAGAAAACAGGAGAAAAAGAAAAAAAAAAAAGATCCCATCAAGAAATACAATGCCAAATATGTTTTGATTTAGGAAGCAGCAGATTCTTACTGACGTTTCCCCACCTTCCCTGTACTCTCAGGACTGCTGTAAAAGCTGACATGAAACTTCTGGACTTGGTCCAGGTCCAAGTAAAACTGGAGCCAAAAGAAAAATCTATTTTGGGGAGTGAGAAGGAAGAATATGGAGAGAACATAAAGTCAGTTTGTTATTAGGAAAAGGGGGAGGAGAGTAGAAGGGAATAATGTTTGTTTAACAATGATTTTGCTACAAATGTGATGTACAGCGACAGTATGTTAAATTTCCTAGTCAACAGGGATCTATACAAAACAATTTGTGGCAAAAAGGAAACAGATGCAGCTCTATCTGCAGCTTCACACATCTGCTCTTGCAAGCCACTGTTCTGCCTATAATTCTCTAGGAGGGATGCAATAAAAATGATATAAAATTTTATTGTGTTAGTGGCACTAGTTATTACAGTGAGAAGCCAGAAAACTTACCCAGGGCTGAACTTCTGCCATCTTTCAGTGCAGCATAAATGATGAGACCACTGCTGGTACCAGCTATACTAGTGTGGGACATGTAAAAATCATTTTGGAGCCTTAATCATGTGGGGTGGATGTGGGGGAAAAAAACAGAGTGACAAAGCTAAGTAATAGAGTAATAGGAAATTGGGGAGCATGGAAATGAAATGTTGAACTGGTGTTTAAAATAAAATTTTACAAGAAAAAAAAATCTGCCCCTGCTCCATTGTTTAATGCCATCAATTATAATTTGCCATACTTTTATTCTGCATTTCAATGGCTGTAGCTTGGGAAATGAATTGGAGTCGAATGACATAAAATAAATATAAATAAAATAATGAGGCTGAAGATCGTGGTCTTCCTCATGGTTTGAACTTTGGAACTTTTCTCCTTTCCGCGTGAGCTTTTGGTCCTTTGATGCTTATCTGAGTAGATCTGTCAGTCTTGATAGGCTTGGAGAGAGTGGAGCTTCTTCATCTGTGTTCTTTGCATCCCTAGGCATTGTTCTTTATGCAAGAAATTTCAAAAATTTGCACTTTCTTATGCCCTTTGTACCATGGCAGAGGTTTTTAAGTAAAAGGTTAAAATTCAACACGTAACTCTACAAGCTAAAATATAAATGCTTAATTCATTTTGTTAACTTAAGTGAACTCCAAAAATCTCTATTTCATGACCTCCAATCAGGATTTGAGGTGTCCACCACTGGACAGCAAAGAAGGGGTCGATGGACAGAACTTTGGGAGGGGTTAAAGGGTTAAAAAGCAAAATCTCCATTGTGTGGGCGAGCACATGGTGGGGAAAATCCATTGCTCCCGGCACCATAACATTTTCTCTACTCAGTCTTCTGTTGTATTTTTGGTAGGATTTAATAAACCTTTCTAAAAGTGAGTAGTAATTTCTCACACTTTGAACGTGCTTTTTTTTTTTAGCAGGGTCTGTTACCTGCCAAACAGGAAGTTCAAAGCACTGACAGAACAATCCCTCTCACCTCAGCAGCAGGGAGAGCAACACATTCATCTTTCTGTCATGTATCTTTCAATAACTGGAAATAAATACTAGGCTATTAAGCTTTTGCAGAATACAATGTTATTTAGACACTGGAAGACTCTTGCAAGGTAAAACAATGGGCAGGCTTTTCTTTCCTGTAATGACAAAATATTACCCTTCATCCCTTAAGTCTTGTTAAAGCCATGTGAATATGTATTTGGGACAGACAAATGGGCTTACTTTATGTTTAAGGTAATTTAGTTTCTTGGATTATGATAAACATAATCAGATGCTAGAAATCCTAAAACTTTAGAATTTATTTTACTGTGGAAGATTATAAAATAAATAATAATATTGACAATAAATTCACATAAAACATAACAAAAGTTAAATCTGAAACCAAAGTTCAAAGAAACTCTTCAAATCCAACATGTCCAAACACAACCCTTCAGGTCTTTAAGCTGAAGTGAAGTAATTTAAACTTTTTCACATAAAATTTAATTTCTGTTTGTGGAGACACAGTGAAACACTTTATCCTAGCTTATGTTACCGAATCCTTGCAGTGACCTGTAGGAAATTTCTCTGCAGGCTGAGGGATTTTTTCAGAATTGCATGTTATCACCGTAATCATGCTAATATTTTGACTCTGTCTCACAACCAAATATTGCAATACCAGATTACTTATCCTGAAGCAAAATATTTTGATCTCACTTCCTAAATGAAATCCAAACATTTCTGAAAGAGCATAGCTTTTCATTCCAATAATTTCTTTTCCATCATAAATATATTTCAGTGGAACAGTCCTGTGCCATTACAACTTCCAGCTACAATTTCAAAAAGCACAATCTTTTAGAATCTCACTTGCTAGATAAGACCATACTTTTCTATGTGTTGTTTTTTTTTTTTTCTGAATAAAAAAAGCATAATATAGAATTGTAATTAAGAAAACAATTTTTTTCAACATTGGTCTTATACTGGCTGGTTAGAAAATGTTTGAGGAAATGTTTTGCCAGGTTATTATTGATTATTTTAGAATAAAACGAACCAAGCCGATAACTAGGCCAATAAAATGGGTCAATATTTAAGAACAGTTTTATGAGTTCTATACCACTGCATAGGAAAAGCCAATAGCAATGAGATTGTGGTGACAAATATGCTTAAACAAATGCAGTGTTTCTGATGATGTTCATGACCCATTCCCTTATCTCCTCAGCATACTGAACAATAAAAGTAAGAAAAACTGGCATGGCCCCTGAAGTAGCTGTCTGGACCTGAAGAAACTCAGAACTTATCTGAGAATGGCAGAGTAAGGGGCCAAATTCCCTACTGCTTAGGGTTTTGAGGCATAAACAAACAGAAAAGGGACAAATTTGGAAGCTCAAATTTGTAAACTTTGCACTTCAACATTTCAGACATCTCGTGTGTCAGAAACATGGTGACCTGAAACTGGAACTTGGCCTATGCTGACAAAAGGATCTATTTGCTGATCACTGAGGATGATCCAACTGGAGCATTTGGATGCCCTCAGCACATCAGGGTGCACAGTCTATTCAGAAATCTGGAACAGACTTCTAGAAGGCTGCAGATTCAGATTAATGCAACAGGCATACATTTCTGGGAGCATAAACTTCTGCAACCCTACCTAAGTGAGAATAACTGAGTCCAGAGATTATTATGAGGTGATCATTGCATGTTTTTACTTTGTGCTAAAAATTAAGCTGGAAAATCAGGTTAATAATTCTGAACTTCTTTTTTCCCCTTCAGATCCTTTTCATTCAGTCCTGGCTGAGCAAATGAGCAAATGAAAGGGGCATCTTGCAGAAATGCAGTCAGCAGAAAGCAATGTAATGAACCAGCTTGTTTTGCAAACCATGAAGTGCTATCATCCCTAGGAATAATTCTGAATAAACTCTCTGATACCCTCAAGCTCCGTCTGCTCTTTGTGGACTTGTGGGTAATTGCCATGGTGAAGAACATCCATATATTAAATTACAGGTATGATTTAAATTATTTTTTACTTTGTTAAATGCATTAAATTCCATGCTTGCTTCACTTAATGTCAGCATAAGACTCCAGGCATCCTTGTAATGTAATAACCATTGGAGTCATACACACAGCTGCTGTTCTGTGGCAGGTGACAGCACAGCTTTGCATTAATGTGAGGCTATTATTAATAACGCTAATATATTCACTTGTAGAGAGAGAGCATATTGCAAAAAGGTTATTATTTTTGAATAATTTAGTCTGACTGTTTTCTGTATTTCATTGAATAATGCCACATTTCGAAACAGCCAGCCATAGGTGTGTCACCTGTAAAAACAAACACCTTGCATGACAGTATTAAGTTCAAACCTTGTTTTTCTTTGCTTGGGTTCTGAGCCATGGCTGCTACCACAAGACAGATTAATAACCATAGGATTAGCATAAAATATATTGTGTGTGTGTGTGTGCTGCAAAGGGTATGGCTGATCTTTAGAGGATGAGAAAATAAACTCATTTATGCTTCAAGAGAAGCAAAATAGCCTCACAGACCAGCAGAAATTTCCTTCCTATTTCACAGAACCATTCTGTAATCAGCATCTTAAATTGTATTATCTATAACATAAGGTCATAATGCAGCAGCCTGGTGGCCTATGTGAACTGCAAATCACTGCCCTGGTAAAAGAGCTTTGAAAAGAGACACCAGAGAAGTCACCCAAACTGAGACAAGCACGGGAGAAAGTTATGCTTTCAAATACAGAGCAGCTTATATCACAAGCCAGCTGGCTGAGAAGAAATAGTTTACAGTTCTAAATCAGTGGCAATTTCTAGGTGTTATTTCTCTTTGTATTGCACAACACTATGAAGGAGAAAGCATTGATTCTCAGAATATTTATATATTAAATACACAAAATATACTGCAGACAAGAAGAGGAGTTTTCAAAAGCAGCAGACTGACCTAAGCTACCTCCCAGTCACAAGCCTCTTCAGGAGGTTTTGAAGGGTCTCAGCCAAAGGGTTTGGTCTTGTTTTGCTCCAAGTACAGGCAGGAGCAGGGACCTGCTGGGGTGTGCAGAAGGTGTCTCCTGGAAATTTATTGGAGTGAATATCAGAGGAGGCCAAGGTGGCTGCCAGGTTTTGGAAACAAGGTGTCCTGCCCTGCCAAGGGCTGCAGTTTCTGGTCACTTTGTGTGACCTGCAGGCAGCCCCAGGCCTTCCCTCCCTGTGGCTGATCCATCCATCTCTGGAATTGGTTCCCAGTCAGTACAGTCATGGTTATTAGTGTCCACTAGGATGGACATGTAGGCAAACAGAGAGACTGGGAGGCATTTTGTGTAGCACATTGGAGAAGGAGACACAAGTAGCTGGTGCTTCTGGGGGCGTATGGTTTAGAGACGGGACATTTTGTTCATCCAAACAATTTGCCAAATGTTTCTTATAAATCCCCTATCTAAAATAGTAAGATCTGTTGAGGTTCCCTGGGATTTATAACAGCCTTATAACCATAATAAATGACAGTGTTAGTATGGGGTGATCAATAGAGTTTCCTTGAAGTTGTAGATAAAAATGGATAGCAGCGGAAAGGAAACCCTTCATATTTACATTGAGGGAGCTCTTGTATTAATTGGCACATAATCAGGTGCAGCTGCTAATAATCAGGCAGCTCTTAAAACTCACACGCAGAGTACTGCCAGTGCAGCCTGAAGAGATAGAGAATATGTAAATATTATCTGAAATTCAGGTTGCTGGATGAAAGTCTTGTTTTCTAAGCTTACAGATTGCTGGTCCTGGGTTCTGCTGACATCAGGATGAGACACTGTGGGATTCCCTCATGTCATAAACCATCTCTTCGCCTACTTGCAGCTCAGTGAAAAGTATCTGTCAAAATATACTTTTTTTTCCTGTGTCCTGTATCTTGATCACACCAGTCTTCAAAGCACTCGGTTTTCTTGATGGGACATTCTGCACATTCTTTGTGAGATCTTCTTTTATTTCTTTTATTGTTGTCCTCGGGAGAAATTATGCACCTCAGCTTGCCAGAGCTACCCCAGGGTCACACAACAACAGGCCAGTTCAAACAAGAATATAAACTCAAAAAAGCAAATTGTGTAGTAACAAAGGATTGAGCTCTTGATTGCAATCTTGGAAGCACTTACAGGCACAGCAAAAAATCCCAAAACATTTAGGAAACCTGCAGCGACTCTAATAACACCCTCTTGTTTTAGCTGTCACTTAGGGTTTTTTCTCTCAGCTATCAGTCAAGGGGCCAATTCAGCCAAATTCCCCCTTCATGGGGCTGGATTTCTGAGTAGGTTGTCATCCTGGTGTTTCCATTCAATTTAATATGCAACAGCTTTCTTGTTGCTATTGAATGCAACCAAAGCTTGGAGGATGTCTGTTTCTTTGCTCACTTAGGGTCTCCTGCTCCCCTGTGGCCTTTGTGTGGGTGTTGCATGTACACATAAGCCAATGAGATATCTTTAACATGAAACACGACAGCTCTGGTTTGTGAATAAGGTTGCTGAAGGGCTGAGCTTTTCCTGTTCTCTTTAGAAAGTGAGCTGAACTGCATTTAGAAGCCTTTATGTGATGTTTTATTAATCCCATGAGTCTACTTGTGCAACATTTGTGTCCTTTGGCTTCGTGACACTTTTACAGTGACCATGCAAGTGGCCATGTTGCTACACACTAGGCATTTCAGGGTTTGTTCTGCCAAGAAGGTTTGTATTGCATTGCTTTAAGAATGGTTTTTGGGACACATGAAACACCTTTTCTTGACATCAATAACATCTTTTTTGTGTGCCTTTACAAAGATAATCAGCAGCTGCATTTGTTTCTTCTCTCCAAAACACCCTTCTCCATCTTGGCCTAGGTGTTCCTTGCATGAATATTCATAAATTTGATATTAATTAAGTGTAAGAGATGTGGTGTCTTCAGTCATCTGAGGTTCTTTCTTCTCTTCATGTCTGCGGCATGCTGATTTTATGATCTTCCCCCCAGAGAAGTGAAAGAATAAATGTGTAAATACAGACACTTGTGAAAAGCTGGTGCCACGGGTTGTCTGGCAACTAATAGTTGTCAGATCTAAATTAGCCAGCCTGCTCTGGAGACAGGTGATTAACAAATAGGGACCTCAGGAACAGGAAAAAGCACAAAGGGGAGGAGATGAACAGAGTTCGCAAGAGGGAGCAAGGGTTAAACACTTAGAGAGGTGTAGGCTGAAGTCCCTGCAGTAATCATTGTTTTTATTTATTGCTGCCTCTTTTTGCTATTTATTGCTATGCTGATGAAAGAGTTTCTTATTTATCTGTTTTTTGTTAATTCTCTTGTTTTCTTCCTGGCCTGACCCTATGGTTTACTTTTTCTGTTAGAACTGCAAAAAGTTTGGATGAGTTTTATAATTTTGTTCCAAATGTGTTATTTTCTTGAGTATACCTTGTTCTGTTTTGTGCACTTGAAAGGCACAAGAACAATCAAGTGTATGCAGAGTGAAATCAAAAGTGGTGCAAAGAAGGTCTTGGAGAGCATCACACTGATGTTACTTGTCAGTTATGGTGGTTGTTATTTTGTAGTTTGGTTTTTGGTTTTCTTTGTTTGGTTTTTTTTTTTTTACAAGCTGATCAGAGCAAATAGGTACTGGACAAATCCTTACAGCTTGAAAAATTTGCTTGGAAGCATCTTCTGCTTTTTCCAGAACTGGTGTGTACATTTGATTCCATTTTTCAATATACTAAGTGCAAAACGTTCTCTTTGAAATATGCAGTAGTTTCTTATGTGTCTGCAAAGTGATTCTAAAGAATTTATTTCTTTTTTTCAGTTTTCAAATAAAAAAACAAGAAAGTGGCTTTTGATTGGAATAAAAAATAAATATGAGGAAAATAATAGAAAGCTGGAGAGAATGGGAATAGAGTGCACGAGATTTATTGAAAACTTTGAAGAGAGGAGCATGTGTGGGAAACTGTCCTAAATTTGTGGTTAATCTTTAAATTCTGCCTCAACAGTACCTCGACTACTCAGTATTTTATTAATTGGTTTTGCCTAGATTATATTTTAAGCTTGTAGATTTTATGTTTATTTATTAGTTTTAAGGAATGCTATGCTAAAGAAATATGAAGTACCAAAAATAGGACACAAATCCACTCTGGGGTACTGAGCCCAATGCTGGGTTATTTTGGATATACCCTATGTGAATCTCTCTCTTTATTTAGCGTGTAGTCAGCATCAAAAATAACATTTCACCATATGTGAAGAACAAGAAGCGATCAATACAAAGTCAGGCTACCTGCCAAGAAGGTTGTTTTTTTTTTTTAATTTAGTTTTATTTGTTTGGGGTTTTTTTCCCAAATTTTAAAAACATAAAAACATGAAAGAGTAACACTATTAGGAACTTTATTCTGTGTTGTTTGACAAATAAAAAATTAATCCTTAAATATTACTTTTGTGCTATTCTATAATTCACAAGGATGTAAATCCTGACAACTTTGGAGGCTTTTGATACTTCCAAAGATGTGCATCAAGGGCTGTCATGCCTTTTCTGAAGGTAAGAATAGATACCATGCTTTATTTCGGAGTAAAAGGAGAACCAGTAAGCTTTACTTTCCTTAAATCCATGGTTTGTAGGTATCCAAGTTTTCCTAAAAAGCGTTCTAATCAATTAAAAGATTAGATCTGATGTTCCCCTGAAGCAAATAAACTTTTTTACCTCCTTGAACTGCAAGAACAGTTTTGGAAGTATCTTAATATTGCTATGATTAAATATACTGCAATCAAAGTAGAACCATTTGGGCTAAGAATGAAAAGGCTTTTTTCCATTAACTTAATACATTTATAGTTGCCATAAGTTTGTGCAGTGGTTAAGATATAGACAATGCTATGAAGGGATGAGGAGCCTGGTGCATTTAAGATCATCATGATTCATCTCTCAAGAGAGTGCTCAGAAATAGAAA